ATAAATTCTCTGACAATTATATAATATCGATAGAAAATGCATCTATTTTAGTAAGTATTATCAAAAGTTTGTCAAAAAAGAACAATAAATTCAACATTTGTATAAATATTTTGATGAATAGTCATTTATTAAAACAATAAAATTAAAAAAATGTACTGGTATTCATTTATTAATAATTAATATCATATATAATTAATCGCTCTATCTAGCCTTGCACATCTTTAACTTATATAAACAATTCATATTTTGATTATTGTGCTCATAATTAATCATTTATCAATTGTTAATGTTATACATAATTAATTGAAGCGGAGAATGTCTTTCAGAAAGTTAAAAAATGCATCAAATGAAGAAATATTTTAATCGAAATGATATTTAAAGAAAAAATAATATATATAATAAATTTTCATGCTAATTGCAAAATCTGTACAATTATTTTTCATAAAATTCAATCACTCATAGAGTGATAGAAAAAGGTTACTGTATCATTCCGTTGATCCATCCGATTATTTCCGGTATAATGAAGTTTTTCAGCTAAAAATAGTATTATTTCAATTTTACCAAAAAAGGAAAAGAAAATAAGATTTGAATTAAGAAAAAAATTATTAAAAAGTAGAAAGTATGGTTAAGTTTTCTGTTCACAAATACTTTTAAGCAATTTCGCAAATATCATTTACATTTGTTTGTTAGCAAAAAAAGAGTCGTAAAAAAACAAATTAACTAAAAATAAAAAATAATCATTCCTCTCATTGTTTATTTTGTCAAAAAAGTATTCAATCGCCGACTTCTTTTGATGCTTTCTTTAATTTTTTAATTTTTTAAAAGATCTAAAAGTAAATTAATTATTTCCTCCAATGTTTGTTATTTGATAAATATTTGAAATAACAAATTTTATTTTGTTACCATGCAATCCTTCTCTCTCCTTTTTTTTTCAAAATTAAAATACAAGAAATATTTATTTTAATTTAAAACAGTGTCAATATTTCATTCCATTTTCAATTACATTCATTCCAAAAAAAAAAAATTTTTTAAGCGGAGGGAAAAAGGTTCAAGTACAATTTCTTCAATTTTTCGGATTCATCTCGTATTTCTCAATAAATTTCATTGTGACATAACCATCGCGGAGAAACAAAATGAATTTTTTTTTAAAAAAAAGGTCTTAAAATGGTTTGATTGAAGAAAAAATGAAAAATACTTGAGATATGAAGTAAAAACAATGCTACTTTTTGTTGCTGATAAATTCTTGTTTTGCAGAGATGAATTAATGATAAGTGTTAAGATTGCTATCAAAAATGCCATTCAAATAAGTGTTTTAGAAATTGTACAGTCAATTTTTTAAAAGAAAATTTTTTTATGCATAAATTTGGTGACAAATGACCAGCTGAACATTTGATGGTAACATGAAAAATGTATTAGATTGGAAGTATTAAAAGAGATAACAAATAATTTCTTGCAAGATTTTAAATATTTACAAATTTCAATCAAGTCAAATTTGCCGAAAAAAATTTTACTGAACTCAGTGGCAACATGCTAATTCAAATTTACTTTATTTGTAATAATTTAAAACAATAGTCATGAAGACAATAAAAAATATTTCGAATAGTTTTTAGATTAGGAACATTCGTTAATCTTACAACAGAACTCTCTATAAGTCATGCTAATTAATCAATGAATTGGCAAATTACTAAATAAAATTGTTAGAGTACTAATGGAATAATTTTTCCGTGCTTAAGTATTGGGAAAATAATTTTAACTTCTTGTTGCATTTTAAAAGAATTATTCGTTCACGAAATACACTTTAATAAGAAAGGAAACTTCTTAAATTGTCATTTGATTTCATTGATTTGCATAAATTCATATGTTAATCCTTTTTTAAATATGGAGAAAATTTTCAAGTAATTACTTGAAATAACAATGTTTTTAATCTTTCAATTAATCAATTGAAAAAACAAATACTTCCATTTCATAATTTATTATAAAATGTTAAAAAATTGAGCGAAGACTAATAATTTTTTAACCAGGAAAATAAATTTTCTAATATGAAAGAATTTCAATCAAACGAATGGTTTGACGTGTGTGTAAATCGATGCTCGAAATTTGTGACGGCGTTAGACACCGAATCAATTCCTCTCTGCTGGATATATCGGTACAATTTTATGCAAATGTGTCATTTAGTAGCGGAAAATGCTAAAACGTTAAACATAACAGAAATAAAGAAAGAAACAAAATTAAATTGCTATGAATGATTGGTTATAATTTAAAATAAATTATTGTTCATGATTGTGTGACTTTCTCAAATAATAAATTACAATGATTTCGGGGAGAAAATGGAAAAGAATGCTCTTTTTTGCGGTATTCTATTTGATGTAATTTCAAATAAATCAAAGATTTTGAGAGAAAAAAGAAGCAAATAGTATACAAAATCAATGAGAGGCAAAAAAAATTTAGGCCTACGAAACATTCGAACGGCCTATTTTTATCGTCCATTTTAATTTTTTATTTAAACAAATTAATTACGGCAGCAATTTTGCTCTCACATGACACTAATTTATTGCTATCATTCGTAATTGTTAAATAATGTTGTAAATAAATAAAATTTATAATTCAATTAACTGAATTACTCTTAATGGTATCGAAGTGTTTATAATATTAATTGAATTTTATAACATAATATTGAAGCATTTATGTTAATTGAATTTTTATAAATTGAAGCATTATAATGTTAACTGAATTAATCATAATGTTGCTTAAAGATTGATTTTTGTTCTTTGATTAAAAGGTATTTAATTAACATTGCGGTAAGTATTTTAAAAATTTTTTCCTTCTTTTTGCACATTTGAAGAAGGCTTATGAAATTATGACTTTTGAAAATTTTATAGCTTAGCTTCTTATTTTCTGTGCCTGTGAATGCCGTCAAAAATCATTTTTCAATTATGGAAGTGGTTCAAAGTTTAAAAATTTTTCCGCCTAAACGATATTGTTAGAATTTGAATATTTTATTGGAATTAATGATCGGATTTAGTTTGATGTTTCGCAGCGAATTTTTCCAAAAATGTAAGCAAATGGAAGGAATTGAAGTGAATTTTTAAGAATGAAGGAAATAACAAACTACCACCAACTAATAAATTTGTAATTTGTAATGATAAAGAAATGCAAATTTATTTTAAAATTTCTAGGAGAACGAATCATTCTTAATAAGCTTATTACAATTCGAATATTTCATTGGAATTAATCAGCGGAATTAGTTTGATGTTTTGTAGCGAATTTTTTCAAAATTTGAATTTTAACGATGTTGCCAGCTGCGCTCGTATTCGTTTCTGTTGTCCGATTTTAAATGTTTTATATTGCGAGAATAACATTTTGGATCAGAAAACAACTGATACTAATTGATAATATTTAAAACCTCTAACTTTTCATTAATCATTTAGTATTAAAGCCCATCATTTTCGAACTTTTTTTCCAAAAATGAAATAAATGCAAATAAAACTGATACGCTAACAAATTTAATAATGACTACTAACTTCTGCTAAAGTTGGAGTAATAAAAAATAAAATTTTTTAATAGTCGCAAAAATATATAAATTTATCTCAAAGGTATTTTAACAGTTCTATTAATAGCTCACTTTTGCTTTCACATTATTTCATTAATTAGCAAAAAAAATTTTTTATACCAAATAACAAATGATAGAATTACAAAATAAAAAGGATTTGAAAATGAAACCCGTAATATTTCCAACATATTATTTCAGCAGTAAAATCATACGTTTCAATTTATAAATGCTATTTATTAAGTGAAAAGGAAAGAATATGAGAAAATTTGCCTCGTAGTATATGTAAAGAAGTTGCTCATTTAATTATGTACAGGTATTGTTAAGTGAATAACAAATAAAATTTGACAATTGAGACAATTAAGTTAGAAATTGAACAAAGTGATTTATTGAACAATTAGATTAATTCAATAATTTGATTAGCTGAAATTTTCTTCATAATTAAAAGAGTTATGAGTGAGATTAATTTGGAAAAAGAAAGCGCTAAAGTTTCTATTTGGAAAGGATTTATATAATAATAAAACAATTTTAAAAGTAAGCAACCATTTCAATTTAATCATCATATGATTCAATAATTGAAAGAAAGAGAAAACAAGAGAGAAAAAAGAGTGGGAGAGGCTTTTTACGCGTAAATTTTTGTTATTATTTCTTTAAAATGTGCAGTTCAAATAATCAATAAATATTTTACGCAAAATAAACCATTTAATAATATTAGCAATATGTAATTTTTAGATCGATGAAATTTATAAAAATTTTCGGATTTCATCTTTCAGCAACTTTTTGTAATCTTTCCTTTAGTCATTTTCTTTTGAATAAATGTGAATATCTTTCAAAATTTTAAAGTAAATTTTGAAAAATTTTTTTAACTAAAAAAAAAATATTTTGAAGTTTAAGAAATTTGTACCTAAAAGGTATGCAATGATTGTAAACAAACTGATGAGAATATATACATCATCAATATATTTAAATTAATATTTATTGAACAGAAAAAAGAAGGAAAGCGAGCCATCACCAATTAATAAGTTCGCAATTTATAATATAATAAAGCAAAATAAATTTATTTTAAAATTTCTGCAAGAATTATTTGCTATAAAAATTTGCTGATAATCAAATATTTCATTGGATTCAATTCACCGGAATTAGTTTTAATATTTTTCAACAAACTTTCCGAAAATGCAAAAAACTTCGGTGATTACTGACAGTTGCGCCTGTCTTATTTTTAAGGCTCAAATATCAATATTAATTTCTGCTTACTGTCTTATTTTTAAATGTTAGATATTTCATAATTAAAACAATTTTTCGTTTTTCAAAAAAAAGGGAAGAGAATTTCAAACATATTTTCGGAAAGTTCTTTCTGTAAACAATCGATATGGAAAGGATTCAATTGAGCTAAATTAAATATTTTTGAACTTTTCTTCCTTAAATTTTTAAATTTCTATAGCTACAGGATATGCTACATAAAAGTTGATTTCTCTTTCATTGGTAGATTGATTTGCATGGCAGAATCTTCTCGACAGAATTCACAATCCACGGTTGATTGTAACATAAATGATAAAAGTGGTAGAAAGAAGAATGTTGCAAAGAGCCAACTAACACTCGCTAATGTTATCAAAAATACACCAACCTGAAATATTATCAATCATTTTCGTACCAATTTTAAAGTTTTAATTTACAATTTTACTTTATGAGAAATTATAAAAAATTACTATTTGGAAAATCAATTGTTATTGCAAATTCCCCACAACTGTTCAGAGAAATTGTGAAAGAAATTCAAAAATTTGAAAGGAAAAAAAAATTAATGAGACAGGAAACGAAAAAAAAGAAATTAACAAATCTATATTAACATTTCCTTAATTGAATAAAATTAAATTCAATAGAATTAATTTCAATAAATCTGATTTATAAAAAAAGAAAAAAGTTTATACCTGATGAAAAGCATGCGTTTCGGCAATTAGCATTGAGCTACCGGCAGCAAACGATGATAGAGCGGATAAACTGACCGGAATTACTGATTTACGAGCTGCCAGCCAAACACGATGCTTACCACAACCAATATTTGGTACAGAAGCACCATAATGTAATGTGAAATCAAATGATAAGCCAACAACAAGTACCAAAATGATTGCTTCGAGAACACCGATCACCCAACCAATTGTTGTCACACAACCCACCGTCACAATAACAATACAACAGATTGTTATCAATGCAATCAATGATTTAAGCCGTAAATGAAGAAATGCAAAAATTGCCACAACAGAAAATGATAGAAGCAATGATTGACGACAATCGGTAATCATTGACTTTAATAAATCAAACCATACACAAATTAATGTCCATTCTGTCGTATACCAACCACCTATAACAATTTGTGCATTCATTTTTATCTGAGTTCATCTTATCCATTAAATGGAATTGGAGTGATATTTCAATTAAATTTATATGTTATATATACTAGCTATGAAATTTCTTCTTCTATAAGGTAATACTGATTAATTAACCGTTTCAGATGTTCTGATAGAAGTTATAGTGAAAAAATTATAAAATTTGTAATAAAAAAGCTAGTAAAAAAAAATATTAAAAAAATGTGACGAAAAAAATTGCTCAAAAAAAGTTGTGATAGGAAAAAAAGAAACTTTTAATCTATTCCATATGTGTGAATATTGCAATGTAACTGGAAGGATAATCGTTTTCAATAGCAAAAAGAAAATTTGGTAATTTTGGAGTGTTAAATAATTTTAGGATAAAAATTGATTTCAAACTTACCATAATTCATATCACTAAATGAATTTCGGAGTAGATCAAAAGAATGAGATAAATTTGCAAATCGATGTGAATATTTGAGTTGTGTTGGTATCATTGCCGTATAACCGACTAAGTTAAAAGTAGTATTATCATAAATTGGTGTGTCGTTATATTGTGTGTAAAGATATGCTGTTGAAAGTCGAATACAGTAATCTGTCAAATTCTCGTGAAAATTTTCATCAGTAAAATTACAACATACTTTAGATGGTTCACAGGTAAAATTACGACTCCATGTAAGATATCTAAAATATATTTATATAATGTAAATATTAGAATTTTTGAAATTTTAAATTGAAATTTTTATTCCAAAATACTGTTTTCAATTTTATAAATTTGTGTTAACTTTTGTTTCCATATTATAGGAAGAAAAATTTTTGTTTTCTTACCTTTCTGGCCAATATTCGCTTTCATGTTTGATAAAATTTAATTCCCTGTAGCCACGTAATTTCAGTGCTAATGCTTGTATATCGGTTGTATTTCGAAGTGAAAATTTCGGATCGTGCTGTACAGCGGTTAATTTATCCGGTTGAAAAATACTTTGTGAAGCACGCCGTGTTAAACCCCAAATTAATCGTACAGCAATAGGAATTTGAAGTTTATTAGCAACAAATTCAAAATTTTTTTCCGCATTATTATCATACCATTCATGTTCATTAGAATCGATAAAAAGTTGTAGCGGATTGTACGGTGGAAATTGAAGATTAGCATAGGTTAAATAGGTCATAGCAGTAACAATAACAGTTAATGATGAGATCCAAATATAACGACCCGATACGATAACAAACGGTAGTAAATCATGCATTATATAATTTAATTTTGAAAATATACGCCATGACATGCAACGTTGAATATAACGATATTGGAATATAAGCATTGCTGGTAGAAGTGATATTTCGAGCAAGTAATTGAATACCAATGTGATACCAGCAAATAAACCAAAACATCTGCAAAAAAAAATGTTTTGTTTTTAAATTTTAGAAACATTATGAAAATTTTAAAAGGATTTCAGAAATGATAAAAAGAAGAAAAATATTAAGTAATAATTTTAATTAAAATTTGAAAAATTCTTCTCCAACTTCACAAATCATTTACATATAAATGAAAAATATGCAATGCTAAAATATTTTCATATTGTATGCAACATTATATCAAATTCATAAAACAATAAAAGAAAAAGTTATTGAAAATACAATCGTTGAGAAATTTTCATTTAATTTGTTAGAAATTTTCATCCTTTCAAATTTTTAGTTTTCAAACAAAAAAAAAGTTTTTAAATTTTCAAAAATTTCAATTTAATATATTAATGCAGTAAAAGATTAATTATGTTTAAAAGAGCAAATTGTTAATAAGAACAAATCAAAAAAAAAAAATTAGAAATACAAACCGAAAGACAACAACACTACTAAGAATATTTGTAAAAAATGGTACAGCTGTTGATGAGGAAGTTAATAGCATAGCGCTAGCAGTATGTGATAAGCACTGATAGATACTGTGTGATGTCACATCTACCGGGAATGAATTCAGCAGTACGAATGCATCATCGGAGCCAATTGCCAGCAGCAGGACAAAAATGATCAAATTCAGAAGCGGAAAATCAACCGTAAATAGCGAATATATCGCTAACGCGCTTAGAACTGATGCAAATAATACAAAAGCAACCATTATACAATAGAAAATATTTAGCGAATATAAGAAGACAATTATGAATACGGAAAGTGCTGCACCGCAAGCAAGAAGTGAATCACGTTTGGCACCATTGTAAAGAAGGTCACGTTTGATATCCATTGATAAGCCTGATGAAATACGTGAATAACGTTAATGGTTAAGGCAAAGAAAATTTTGCTCTAATTTAATCTCTCTTTAAAAAACAGAATGGCATAAAATTTGTTTCAATGACAATAAAAGGTAATAAATTGTAATGTGCTATGAATTTTGCCCAACTGATAATAATTATTTAAAATCATTATCTATTTTTTCAATCATAAATAATCTTTCAATAGCTTTTTAAAATTAATTTTAACATTTAGATGAAATAAAGAATGAAAAATGTATTAATTCTTGCATAAATCTAATGAATAATATTTATTAATAATAATTTTTTAAGTTACAATCATGAAATTAAAATATGCCTATTTTACCTTTTAGAATAAATTTTTGATGTTTCATTGAAAATTTTCTGAAAGCATTTTGTAAATTCAAATAATGCTGGATGGTTGTTTCATAATGGAAACCTTGTGATCGATAACCGGATAATGTAAAAATTGGTAAGAAACCATTAATATAAATTGGTTTGGTGTTTAGATTTTTCGGTAAAATTCGATAAAATAAATCAAAGATCATCTGAGTGGAGCAATTATTGGGAACATTTGAGCATTGAGGACAATCCAGGTGACAATCACGACGACAGCTGATAATTTCACGTCGATATGATCGACAATAATCGATGATAGTGCGACCGAATTGTACATCATCTTCAGCAATGAATGAACAATTGGTTAAAAGATTAGGTGACAAGCACGACAAATAATTTGGTAAGCTCCAAATATTTCTGAAAAAAAAAACAAGATTAGAAGCATAATAAAATTTGATAGTTATCATAAAAAAGAATTCAAAAATGAATTCCTTATTTTTGTTCATAATTTGTGATATGCTTTTCTCTAATATCAATGGATAAATATATTTGCTGTAAGTTAAAATTTGAATTTTGCGCATAGTATTACGTTTATAGCTACAAAGAGTAATCAAATAATGATAATTGTAACAAAATAATAGTAATAATGTCAAAAAATAATTCAATATCTCTTAAGGATTATGAATGTAATAGTGAGAATTCGAGATTTTGATTCAAATTATCTTCGATGAATATTTCGCACTGATAGCATTTATAGTTCTGATATGATCGATTAGAATATTTATCAATGCTGACTTTTGATCTGTTTAGATTTCGAATTTTAGGAAGTAAGAATAAGAATCGGAATTTCTAAATGACAAATGCTTTTCCTCTTATCACTTTTTATTTTCATTATTTTCATAGCTCACAATGATCCTGGAATAGAGTCCAGAGGAAATGACAGACGGGATTACTGAGGCATTTGACATAACGGGTAACTTTTTCACAACTGTACCTCTTTTGTACAACTGATTTTTTTAGTGGTAACGAATAAACAGAGTTATTAGTATGATGATAAATGTGATAAGTATTAAGAACAAGGAAAGATCGATGAGGGAAATATTATTTTTCTAATTGATAGCTTCCACTAAGTCTAATCTATGATCAGAATAGTCAGAAAGAAATATTCCGTGGTCATTGTGGCCCTAAAAGATATTGATGATAATGATTGTTCTTATTCATCTTCATTCAATTGTTTTTTCTGCTTGCCATCTAATTGTTTCTCTTGCATTCATTTTCTGATAACTCTGATATATAGGTCAAGAACTAAGTTCTATTTCCTAAAATTCTACTCTTAAATATTATTTACCAAACTGTACAAATGATGCATCAAATCATATCCATAAACATTCATTATCCAGTACTGACCCATCAATGTCGTCATCTTAACGATCAACTGTATAAAATGATTCTCATAATAAAATTATCCGTAACTTATAGGACTCTTTCTATCTATCATTTTAAATGAAAATTTCGCAACCATTAGCTAATGTAACTTCTGAATAGATCCATCCTTTTTATGAATGAATGATATGCCTAACTTTTAAATGATCATTCTCTTTATAATTACTTAATTAAGATTTCATCCAAGAACGTTCAGAATCTTAACATTTAACTTTTGGAAACAAATAGAATAATTCCCAATTAATTCCAAATAAAAATTCCTTTGACGGATTCCTGAGAAAAGTACCGTCCATCCTTCGCTTTTTTTCTTTGAACATGCCTAATCTCTTTGTCTAGAAAATTTGAACAATCAATTATCCCGATAACCTAGAAATCCAGAATTGCATTGACAATTTGACCTATATTAAAAGAGGAAAAAAATCAGTGAACTTCTCTGGTTTAAAAGTCTTTGAAAATAAATAGGAAAGCTTTTCACTTTTTCGGTTTTAGTATATTCGTTAAATATAATTCGTTCAAAAAGTTGCAGCATGAAAATTTCAAAAAATTAACCATCAATAAAAAAATCATTGCTTTTTAATCAATTTGAAATATGTTCTTTCACAATCTTTAATCTTTCATCCAGATGGCTTTCAATCCTACGGGTTCATAATACTTTTCTACAAAAAAATGCCCACAATATTGCAGAAAATATGAATATTTTTTATAAACTTCATTTACTTGCTCGTTATTAAAATTCAAAAAATTGAAAAGAGGAAAATTTTCACATCGAAATGCAGTCTTTGTAGCTTTAAAACATTTTTTTTTAATTTTTCAATCAAAGAATATAATTGGTAGTAAAGAATCAATGTTTCAAATGAATCCAATAGCTGAAATGTGTGAGATTGATCAGACATTGACTAATTTTGTCAGCAATGTAAAATAAATAACAAGGAATTTTATAAAAATTGCCGCCGGCATTTTCCAACATTTTCAGTGAATTGATAATTATCTATGACATATTTTCATCAATTTACTATGCATATCATATTCCGGTTTTTTAATAAAAAAATCAGCAAAAAAAATTTTTCTCTTTAGCATTTGAAGGTACAGAGGTTTTTTTTCCTTTCTCTCTCTGTCTTTTTACCCATGAAAAAAGAAGCAATTTTACCCATGAAAATTACTTTTTAATTAGGCTTTCTCTCGTTCTTCTCCCAAATCATCTATCCCTACTCTCAACAAATAATTATACAAGAAATGATTGGTTTAATTTAATTAAGTGCAAAAAAAAATAGAAACCTGTATGGTGTCATATTGGCAAATAATTGTAACTGATCATTGAGCGAGGTATCTAATGAACATAGCATTTTGAGGTAATCGAGGCCAAATAAGTCATCATATGAGTTCACTTCAACAACGAATTGTGTTAAATAATCCACTGAAAAATACTGAATTCAGATATGGATCAAACTCTTAATTTCTAGTTTAGTTAGCTATTAACTGAGTTATTCGACAAGAAAAATTGAAATCGATGCTTTGAAAAACTGGAAGTTGTAAATGCATTGGGGATAATTTTATTCTAGTTTTAGGATCAATTATTAATTAAATTTGAAAATTATTCACTAAAAAAGATTTACAGAAGCTTTTTTCTTTTCTGCGTTAAATTGTGCAACGCTTTTCATACAACTATTTCAAAATATTGTTGATTTTTGATGACATTCTCTTTTAAGTTTAAAAATTTTAAAAAGAATTCCAAAAATTTTTTATTCTTCAAAAAGAGATATCACATCGATATGTTTGATGATATATTAAAAATGGTTACGTAAAATCTGATTCGGCTACAGTATGACATTTCCAAAAACTTTAAGTAAATTGGAAAGGTAATAGAAATTGCTGATTGATACGCTATTTATTTTTATTAACTATCTTTCCTAAGGAGATAATGATTCACTGGCCTTAATTTAATTTAAGCTCTAAAGTTTCATTCTCTTAGACTAATGCCGCCAATGTATAATTTATTTCTGATGAAAAGAAAAGAATTATACTTCCTGGAATAGCCGTTTCATAGCATGCTACATGACCAAAAGTACTTAATAGTTCATCAGCCCAAGAACGTTTTAAACGACTTTTTCGCATTGTTGTATTTGATAGGACTACTCGATTGCCCATTTGCATATTCCAAGCCACTTTCTCCCATGTTAGTCGTGGCCCAGAATATTCCGTATCACGTGTATCGAAACCCTGAAAAGAAGTAAATCTTCTAGTAAATCAAATAATTATATATTCCTGATATAATTAATGTGGTTATAATTGGAATTCATATTAGAAATCATTTCCGAAAATCGAAAATATTTTTAATCTATTCTCAAAATAATCTTACCTGAAGGGAAATTAATTAATCTATAATAATTTTTCAGCAATATTGTTAAAATTTTTTTCTTCTAAAAAAATTTTGACTAGCGTCATATGTATAAACATATATATGTCGAAGCAATATCAATAATTGCTGATATTTTTTTCTTTATTAATACCAAATTGATTTTTTTATTGATAATTATTTAAATTGGAATTTTCAAATTTTTCATTTTTACCTAACCATTTTAGCCTGCCTTTTTCTGCTCGCGTATAATGTTAAAAAGTAAAATTAAATGGTCCTCTCTTTTACATTCATTATCTAAAATTTGAATAGCATGAATAGACGCCAAACTGTCAACAATTATTTATCACTTTCATTCCAATTATATAGTCCATTTTGAATTTGAAAAGAAGCATAAAATTTCAGGCCAAGGTCGAAAGCAATGCTAAAAAAAACATTTCGAATATGACGAATATGAAATTGAAAATCTTGAATTTTCCACTCATTAAATGAATAAAGATCAATTTTTCACATTACTTCGTCTTGCGGATTTACCAATGGTATATAAATTCTGTTTTCCGGGTTTACCCGTGATATGTACTGAATAACAGATCGGTTCTTCAATATTACTATTTATATTTTAATTATAAAATATTTGTAAAAATTGAGAGAAAAAAGAGAAAACATTGGAAGAGATATTTCTGGTTAACACATTTATACAATTCTGAAGTGTAATTCCTTATTTTCGATGATTGCAACTTAATCAATATTTGAAATTAATTTAAATATCTAAATTCGTTGAATAGAATAAAATTTTCTTAATCAAATTAAATTCAAACTCTATCCTTCGCTCATCTCTCTCACGCATGAAAATTAAATAACTATTTCAAACATTCATTCAGTTCAAATTTCAATTATAAAAGGCTATTTTTACATTTATGCATCGTTTGCAATCAAAATGTTATAAAATTATACGAGTCAGATATCTGTTTGAGTGCGAGGAATCAATTTCACTTTTCAATGACATCTTTTAAAATTTGTTAAAGTGGTGCATATGCAAACCCAATATATACATATACATTTTTCCCATCTTTTTCTATCGTCTATACGAATAAATGATATACTCGTGGATAAATATTAATAAATGCAAACTTTCACACATAAATTAACACCCGATATTTCAATAAATTTTGTATAAATTCTTTTAAAAAATGATGCGAAAGATTTTCCATGCAAATTTTGCTTTAATATCGTTTGACAATATTATCATTGCCACATTACAAACGAATATTTTAATGTTTTCGATAGTATTTTGAGACTATTTATTTCGAAGATTTTGAAAAGCAATCTTTTTCAGCCATTATGAGCATAAAAATTCGAATTCTTTTTTCAATCATTATTCAGTGTTAGATATCAGCAACTTTCATATTTCTTTCTTTAACTGTAAATATGAAACTCGGCATTTCCTACTTCCTCAAAAAGAGGAAGTAGGAAATGCCGAGTTTCATATTATTTGAAAATTTAATTTTTAAATTAGAACATAAGCATCTTATGAATAAAATAGATTAATGAGCATAAAGTTGATATAGCCTTTGAACAACTATTTAATTAAAACTAAAATATCAAAACAAAAAAGGATTGAAATTAATAATCAAAAAAAATTGAAAAAATTGCGGAAAAAGGCAGGAAAATAGTATATTTCATTCAAAACTAAGCTAATTAAAGAAAAAAAATCAATTAAAAGTATGAAGAAATGAAAAAGAATAGAATTAAAAAAAAAACTTACAGTTTCAGGATTTTGATTAATTTGTAAAGGATTGAAGAATAATACAGTTATAGGTATGATTGTAGTTATAATTGATGTTACAAGTAGAACAGTACCTGGATAATTGAATAGAAGTGTAGAATAAGCAGCTAATAAATGATGCAAAATACTACCATTTTCAACTTTATCATCCATTTCTTTCCTTTTTTGGTTAGCAAAATTGAATTGAATGAATTTATTGTTGGTAACAATAATTACAATTGCCAGCTGATGATGAAGACGAGTCCACGAAAGAACTATGCATTCATTCGACCATGTTGGATGGATGGAGGAACGATCGCATCGGATGAATGAATTGTCTCGGATGGGCTCGATGGATAATATTTGACGCCAAAACCTTTCCTCGTAACGCCACGCCTACTAAATTGCCGGCTGATTAACGACGAATGTTATGATTGATCTCAATCAATCAACCATTCAGCTCCGATCGTTTTTCGATTGATTGCGCTGAAAATATGATGAATGAAATATTTCTATTCTCAATCTATATCAACAGTTCATTCTACTTTGCAAGATGATTTGGAAGTGTGACTAATGATCACACAACTTTATTTAGAAGTTTAAAGTGTTTTTTTTTGGTTGAAATTACGATGTGCAGTAATTAATTATATGGAAGTACTATAAAAGGCGCCAAAAAAAAGAAGGAAAAGAAAGTGAGTTACAACTGTATTGAATTTTTCCCTTCTTTTTCTTCCAAATAAAAAGTTTCTTTTCCTTTTCCAAAAAAAATTTTTTTTAGAATAACATGTTTCTGCCGACATGAAACATTCATTTACGTTATATTGGCGAAAATATGATAGCTTAAATTATGATATGCTGTTGCACTTTATCAGTATTGATGCTTCTCTGTAAGAATGTTGGCATGTATTTTGCTCTACTAAATACAATTTTTTATCTTGAAAGTCAATTTTGAAAGTATTGTATAGATGCAAATTAAAATTTCAAATATCAGTTATAAGCAGCTTTTGCGTGATAAATGATCGGATATATCTTCCAACTATATTATAGCAAAGAAAGAATAATTATAACAAAGATATGTTTTACAAAAACATACATAAGACAAATCCTCTACAATCACAAAATTTATTAACTTGCATAAAACGTTATTGCATCAGACCATAGACTACGACAATAAAACAGATTTCGGAATAACATGAATAAAAATAATAGAAGCAATGATAATTCTAAAGCATTTCGAATTGCGGTTCTTCTTCCACCACACCAAATGTTACCAGACCGCAATGCACAGCAAATAACACCGATAACGTTAAAGCGCCTACAGCAAAGAAGATCGTTTCAGCTACTGGACTCTAAACAACATTGTTAAGAATAAATAATCTTTTCGCAATTTCGAATTGAAGAGATTTTCTGCTCCTTGCTCATTATTAACAAAAATATTCAGGCATAATTAAAACGATCGAAGCATAGGGAAGATTTACTAAGCAATTTAAATTCATCTTTAATTTTTAAATGGTGTCTACGGTCACTAGACAGTTAGGAACAGACCTATAGGAAAAAAGATTTTACCGTCCACTCTTTACTTCATCCAAACTAATACTGCTATAATTTTGTTCTTTTTTTTCTATATTTCATATTTGACTGCTTATAAACTCACTGACGAC